AGACAGCCTCTTCCCAATATGCTTTTTTGCAATTTACATATATGCAAAAACGCATAAAAAGCAAAAATTCTACGAGAATGCTGAAGTATCGTGTGTGTCACTAAAATTGTAAAACAGATTTCACAAATGCCTACATCGCACTTACAGGTACGAAATTGAGGGTGCATTTTTTCGCGACAATTTCTGTTCAAGAAATGCAAGAATTTGAAATCTTACGCCCCAATGCCAAGTCACTATTCTTGGCACGCTTTTCCTCCTAAACACAGCAAAAGATCCAAATTAATTCCTACATGAATGCACTTGTTCATCTGTAACATAACAATCATTTGTACTTTTCAAGACTAACGCAAAAACATATGGTCGTGTTGGAAACCCTGATGCGCGTTAACATCTGGGTTACGAACGGTTCCTTTTCAGGCTTTGCATGAGCACGGGAGAATTGCATATGTATCAATAGAAATATGGAGATGCCTTTTCTCGCATCTGTCGGCTAAGCTAATTGAACAACTAAAAAGCAATTTTCTTTCAACGGGGGAAAGGTCTGCTTCTTCTTGCTTTTTCAGAGCAATCAGCTGAATTTTTTCTGGTAGGGAGGCATTGAGGGAGAAGGGAGAAGACGAGCGGAGGGGATGTTAATTTTAAATTTTCATCCGATGTCTACAGGTCTTTTTTTGTATCTGATTTCAACAAACGCCCTCGCATAAAAAGGAAATGAGGAATAGTTACTGTAACCAGTTCCTCACACTCACGCGACAGCAGATTTCTAAAGGCTATGGAAATGCAGATACCGTACTCAACCTGCTAATATAAACTGTGTGACAAAATTCTTGCATCTACACCAAAATTAACTAGGGATCAAACATGAGTCTGGAAGTTACCCGAATGACATAATGGCATTCTTCGGCACCAGACAGATCAATTTTTTGCTTCTTATCAGAACACGTCAAGTCCAGATTGGTTCCACATACTGCTGATGACGTTTTTCGTGGATGTTCACAAAAATTGCCACCAAAGGCCTCTGGGCATCTACAACGCGAACAGTTCTTCGGATCCGTATAACCATTATTTTCACATTTTAGCTCGTTTTTGCAAACATCTAAAAAATTGCCAGGAAGAAAAACCATCATAACGCGGAAAAACCATCAAAAACCAGTACGCAAATGCGTGGATAAGCTTCAGTCATACTTTGCTTTCATTAAATATTTGGGGAGTCAGTTCGAACTTCGACGTGTAAGTATGTGAGAATTGGTGTATGAGGGCTGAATTTAAATTCTTTGATTCGTAACTGGACAGGGAATATCTTCGCAAAGTTTCAGTCTTCCAGCCTGTCTGGTTACCAAAATCGTTCCTCCGTTAAAATATCTTTCATATACCCGTGTACGAGAACTAGAAGGAAATGAGTGTTTATTTTACGCCTAGAAACTAATTTTTAATGGTAGACCAATTTGCCAAAATTTCAGTTTTGTAGGTGCCATAAGTTCGGACGCTAAATATGCTGACGGAGAAACAGACAGACAGACAGACGCACACACATACATTGACAACCCCCTTCAATATGTGTTTTTTGCATTGCGTAGATGTTCTGCGTATTTGAACCCTGGTTTAAGATCTGCGTATCTGAACCACGGTTTAGAATGCAAAAAGTTCTGTATTCCTGGCACTGAACGTGATACGTGCAGTCATTTGTGCAACACATGATTCCCATTCCTACCCGCATGCACTGCTAAGTCTATGTTTACAGTGGAGGGTTAAACACAAAAGAATACTTTTACACGACCTTTAAAATACGATAACGCTCTATTAGCTTTAGTATTTTGGACATAATGACCCAATAAGCATACAAAATGAGTCTTATCGTAAATGCGCATGAAAAAATAGCAGACCTTTGCAGTACGCCAAATTAATTTTTTTCGCGTCGCTGAATGTTAGCTGTGTTCGCTGTCCTATAGTATAACGATAATTCGCATCCTTAGTATCAATCGTATTATGACCGTTCCGCGAGAAATGCTGTAATATAGCGATGTCTTCAAACGATTTCGAAGCCTATCACCGACAATGCAAGTAATTACGCATACCAGCGAGATCGAAACCATTTTGTACTACTACGGCTTTTTTAGTTGTAGAAAGTGAACCAATGATAAATTGTTAGAAAATATTGAAATTAGGAGTGACGAACCGTCTGATTGAAATGCATTAGCGAGCCGTAGTCGTATGGTACGGCGAAAGTCTCCATCACGTCCGGTGCCCTTTTTGAAAACTGATTTTCATAACCAGCGATGATATTTTCTGTACGGATGTTTACATACTGATCCCGGTCATAGCGCGCCTGCTCGTGAAACAGACCCAATGAATGTCCTAAAAGCCAGTCGTTCGATTAAAATTCAGTTACACTTCACAACGCACAACCATATCCTACTTTCAACAAAAGGGGATGAATTCCTGGTCCAACACCAAAAACCGAACTGGCAAAACTTCAAGGTATTAGCTTGTATTGATGGCGGAGTTAATTGCTGGAAATCAGCTCTAAACTTGATATCCTTGCAGGCCATAACCTCAGGTTTAAATTCAGAATGATGAGTGACGTAGATCACAAAAAGGAATCATTGGCTACGCGCACCAGGCGAGCCCGTGCAGTCATGCGTTTTTGCAGTATTTCGTGCTGTAGCGAGATCCCTTGGAACCACCACAGATAGAATTTGTGACGTGCAGTCCTCGAAATTTCGGAATAAAATTGTATCGTTACCATGCGGTATTTGGGTAGGGACATCCTCACGGAAGGGACATCCTGACGAATCTTGAAGCTTTTCTGGTTCTCGAGTTAGTGGTTTTCCCGCCAAAATTTTCATGGGGCCACATGCAAGAGCCACGTGTGTTTGGATGCCGAATTTGAAACCTCTGAGTTTTAGGTGGGCGGGGAACATTCTCTCAAAATTTCAGCTTTCTATCTTTTCTGGTTCCCGAGTTATTAATTTTTCCGCCAAAACTTTCACGTGATCGTAAGCGAGGCCTAGACGTGCATGAGTGCTGGTACCGTGGCCCTGGGTGTCACTTGACTGAGGAACCGCTGACAAAGTCTTGGCGCTGCAGCTTGCTTTGTTGCAGAGTTTGAGTACCTAGGCAGACGTGCACAAACACACACACATAAGCGCACTGAAGTCGTCACGACATGCTTTTTTGCTCGCCGTAGTAGCGCTATAGAGCTGCTCAGCAAAAGCGATAACAAAACTCAAAATTTTGAAAATTTAAGCACTGCAAAAAACGTAACCTCACTGCAAAAATGTGTTACGCAGTTCCCCTAAGACGCGTTGCTACTTGTTATATGTCCACAAGAACTGACGTTCTTGAGTTGTCTCCAGCGCAAAAGAAAGGAAAGAAGGCATTCTGTTCTCCTGGATACTGCCTTCACATGGGGTGAAGTGCCCTGAAAAGCAAGCTACCTACCACCAACTGATCAGCCCTATCGTAGATATTTCCAGTGCTTCGAATATTTCGTAAGCTTATCGCTGTTATGTTTCAAAACCCCACACGAAAAGCCAAACTGGAACTTGGCATTGGTGATTGGATAATAAATAGACTCAGGAGAAAGTTACCGATCAAATGAGCAACCATTCCAACAGAAGAGCAGTTCTGGTCGATGGATATCGTTTGTTTACCGGTGGAATGACATCCAACGTTCGAATAGCATCTGAAGTGAGTGGAAAAACGAATGTCAACTGTCCGCTTGCTAATGCCGACCCATTCAGTGACGTATCACATGAAGCTGACTTTTGAGATTTCTCTGTACGTACAGCAATGCGCAACGAAACAATTCGAATCGTATGCGATGTATGTGCACACCAACGAGCCTACACAATGCAGTAATGGGCTGCTGTAAGAACGTTGTTCAAATACAATAGACAAAAGATATTGAAGGTGGCTGTATTTCACTTTTGGCTCCTTTGCGGGTAGGCCTGCCACTTTTGCCAGTTTTACCTGCTTTTCAGGGTACCAGCGGCTTGCTCTTATTCTTTTTGTAAGCAAATTCAAGTGTTAAGAAATTTGATGAAACTTCGCTGGAATTTTTAATTTTTTGTCGCAAAAATACTTTTTATTTTCAGCAGCGGTATCCATTCTCTTAACTTTAGCTTTCTGGGCTCAAAAACAGCAAGGAGTACCCATTGCCAATTCTGAATTCAATGTACGGCTCGCCTCGTCTCCGAATGGGCAATTCCTTGAAAAGCACACAGGTATTATTCTGCCAAAGATGCAGCGCTTCTTTTATAACTGATGGATTCACTGAAACGACGTTATCAGTAGTGCTGTTTCATTTTGTTATATACCACTAAGTATGCCATCTACTTTACTGCACCATGGTTATGAGGTAAGCACCAAGGCGGTGTAGGAGACTGGCATAGCTGTGCGTTTTTTCGAATTGCTGGTTTTGGAATCAAGCCGATGAATGAATCGATTAGTACATACGGCCGTGCCAGAATTCGTTTTTA